TTCCTGCCCTGTGGCACGCGTCGTGCTGCTCCAGGCGGGCACCTTCCTGCTATAGATGGGGTCGTCGAACTCCAGCTGGGGGGGTGGCAGCACCTGGAGGGGACAGATAGGGCACATGATGGAGGTTGGTTCTACCCCGCGCCTTTGCCCAGCTCCTGGCGGGGGTCAAAAGGGATCTGTCCCTGCTCTGGTGACAGCAGGTAGGGGCTTCTCATTTCCAGAGGAGCCAGGGCCCAGGTACTAGCAGTCCCTTCTCAGGGGGAGCAACTCGCCCCAGGTTTGAAGAGCATCTCCTGCCCCCCTGGAACGCACCTGCAGCACTGGGCTGGATGGCCTCGAGGAGCCCCTGTCCCTGCTGGGAGCTGCCAGCAGCCGACGGCGCCTGGATCCCTGGCTGGACACGCTGCGGTGAAGCCGGCGGGGCGTGGAGAGCGTCCGGGCCCGGCCGAGGCCAGGGGGCAGCGTGGAGATCGTGAGCTGGACTTCCTGTGCAACGTCCACCTCGGAGTAGATGTTCTCAGGGCTGAGGTCCCGGGGCGACCCCCGGCCCACGGCGTAGAAGGGGATGGGCTCGTCAGGCTCGTGGTAGATGCGGTGCTCGGGGAGCACGGGCCCCTCACAGGGCTCGGCGTAGGTGTGGAAGCGCAGCAGCTGCTGGTACTTGGCCTCGGGGGCGGAGGGAGGGGTGGGGGGTGCTGTGGCCATCCAGGGGCTGCTGGGGACCCGAGTAGCCTTGGCAGGGAGCAGGGGGCCGGGACAGGCAGCCTGGGGGAGCAAAGATGCAGTGAGTCTGGGGCCGGAGAAGCAAAACCGTGCTTGCCCCTCATCCGGTCCCATCTCACCTCTGGCGAGGAGCAGCCCTGGCCGGTGGCTTGGCGCTGCTTGTGCACGACGCTGTACGCTGGGCTCAACGCAGCGTGGGGGAGCATTGCTGCCTCGGCCCCCGCTGGGATCCCGGTGCCTACTGGGTCCTTGTTATTCTGCAGTAAAGTTTGGGGGAGGAGAGGGGGGAGCTGAGCAACAGCACCGCTGCAAAGAGAAGTGCATGGCACGGGTGCAAAGCGCAGGCCTGGGCATCAGGACACCTGGGGTCTACTCCCCCCAGCATTGGGCGGAGAGTGTCTGTAAGAGCCAGGACGCCTGGGTTTTTTTCTCTTCTCTGCCCTCCCCTCTCCCAGCTTGGGGTCATGTTCTCTGTAATAGGGGTGCAATTCTGCCCTGTTGTAGCTTAGGGAAGGGTAATGGGGCTATTTCTGCCCCTGCCTGCAATTTTGACCCTGTCTCTGCTGCCCATGCCCCTTTTGTGCGGGCTGGAGAATCCCCAGTGATGCTACAAGGCTCATGACACACATGGCAGA